GAGGTCCCTTCCAACCCCTAACAGTCTGATTAAGCACTGCACACAGCAAGTAAAAATGAATTTGGAGCGACATGCTTGCTCACTCCTCTCCTGCTCAGGCTCGCCGCCCGAGCTGCCCAAGGAGTTTGCCACCTCCAGCTGAATCACCTCAGACCCGGAGGAGACTCTGCCCAGCAGCACCTTCAGAATGAAGGGAAAAGGAAGCCGAAAGAAAAGCTGAACTAACACTGCCTGCCCCTCAGCTGGGCATCGCTTGGGCACTGCCACAGGCAGTTCAGGGAGTTCATTGAGTATTTTCCAACGTATATACACACGCAGGAAAGGACAGGACAGAACCCGTCTCCTATGTCCTCCCTCGGACTGCTCCTCCCACCACTAATGCAGAAACCCTCTTTAAAAGGGATCATGGCCAAAGTTATTTATTTGTTCTTAAAGAAGCTGGGTCCTTATCAGGTGTGATAAATTCAGAGCTGCCAGGAGCCAGGCTGGCTGGGAGGTGAAAGCACAATAGCGTATTTATCCTCACGATCAAGTTAAGCTTGTAGCCCACTTTCAACATAAGCCTACTCTAGAAAAACCATTTGTTCTCTAAGCAGAGCAACAAAGGCAGGCTCCCAGTCTCCTGCTGTTTGAAATACACTCACACTGGTCCAGATAATTGTTGGTGAAAACCAAAAATCTTTGAAGTTCTTGAGTCTAGTAACAAAAGCTAAGCTGGGCGAGCAGAGGGCCGGCTCGCAGGTCACGGCTGCACGCTAAGCTGTCACCTCCCTCACTAGAATTTGCAACTCTTCTATTAAATGTTCTCAAAGCTGCTTTCTTCTTCCTCCCCCATCTGTAACCCTCATGTAAAAAGGCCCCAGAGCAGAACAGGGACAGGATTAATTTAATTTTTTTTTTAAAAAAACAGTTCAGGAAAGTAATTTAGAGCCTTGCTCTCAGTATTCCTAAAATCAGTGTTAAAAAACACTTATCTGATGCAGAAAATTGCTTATAATTGTAATGAATATCATGAGATTAACCTTATCTGCAACAGCAATATACCTCACCTTGAAGGTTATACCAAGCACTGAAAAATGTTTGCTTTCCACAGTTCTATGGAAAGAAACCTCAAATTCCTCCTCCAAAACGACCAGCTGAGACATCAGAACAAGTCAAATATTAAGATTTTACTTCCCTGTAGGATCTCAGTTTATTGAGGAAATCTGCAATATGTCTACTAAAAATGCAGTAAGAATGAATTAAGTTACCATGAGTAGCAGACTATTTAGAACTAAATGTAGAGTATAATTTAGTTTTATTATAATTAGTTGATAAGCTGCATCTTCATCTCAAATACCTTCTTAATAGGAAAATTAAATTCAAGCGCAAACTAATGGCAAGAGTACTTTTTGTCAGTTGGATGCACTTCTCTTTGCAAAAATGAAATTAAAGCCAGCCTGCTCCTTTTAAACAAAGTATTGGAGACATCACAATACACTGGTATCGAGTAAGGTTTGCATTAATATCAATAATATTAACTATTATGCATTAAAATGAATATGCATCAATAAGAAAGCAAAAAATCTAGGCCAATAGTACCTCAGCCAAAGACAAGTTACTCTTGTTGCCATTTCAGTACCTGGTAAGAGTCCAGTGATACTAAACAGGCAAGTTCAAAGTCTATAAATAAATTAGGGAAAGGCCAAAAAAAGGCTTTAATTTGAAAAATAAATCAAAAAGAAGTTTAAGGTGCCCCCACCTATGTATTAATTTTTATTCCAGAAACTGAGGAAAGCCATATTTTGACAACACTTGTCAAAATGAAGAGAGTATCACACAGTATTACTAAAGCAGCATAAACTGCACTCAGATTTTTTTTTTCTGTAGTTTTAAGTCTCCTGAATACTTAAACCTCTACTCCACTCAGGTAATTTCATCTTCACCTCACTTCTTCATGGTTTGCATTTTGGGCCGAGTACTGGTTTGGGTTTTCTTTTGCCCCCCGTCAGCAGCTCAGTGCATCTGAATGGATCACAGTAGCTGATACTCACAGTGCACGAAGCACCTGCAGAAACAAATCCTGCATATATTGCACACGCTTGTGTCGTAAAATCACGGAGCGGTATCAGATACCAAGACAAGAATGCGTTACAGAAACCTCAGAAGAACGATTCAGACAGGAACATCTTCAGCTTTTGCAGATGAAAAGGACCTGTCTGATCTATGAGAAGTAGCTGGTCACAAACCTCCACGTTCAGTCTATCTCCAGCTGATCAGCTACATGCACACAACAGGGGTGATGACATTTTACGAAGGCACTATTTTTTTCCTGCTATTTAAAAAGAAAATCCTTCTCAGCAGTTAATGGAAGCCTGCCCACTTGCAAGAAAAACTCCTGTCAGATCCTGCTTCTCAGGACACAACCCGACACAGAGGTACGATGGGGGAGCGGGGTGTTGTCGTTGATAAAAAGGAACACAGGCAAAGGCCGTATGCAGATTTATGAAAAATAAATTTATTACATAACACCTTGTTTTAACAATGTTTGATTTCTTTTTTTATTCAGAATACTTGTGTCATTCATGTAAAATAGTTTGATACAGTACATTGTATGTAAGTTTTTCCTCATAAATTCTAAGGCTCTCCTAACACCTTGATCCTCTGCGGTAGGAATGGCACCCCTAAACAACGTGCGAACATTTAAAAAAAAATAATTAACTGAACAAAATTTAAAATCCACTACACCAAGCTGGTTCTCAAAAATCATGATGAAATATCTGAATGGATGCCGCACCTTTTTAGGAAATATCACTCATGCTTTTTTAATCCCAAAGCATGCTCACAAATCATTAACACCAACAGGAAAAAAAAAAATAAAACACTATGACAATCATTTTAGTTTGTTTGCTGAACCAAACATGTTTATATCAATGACAACATACTTATTTTACTATCAAATAGCAGCTTTAATACCAGTCAAGTCATAGATTTAAAAACAAAAACTTATGTTGCAAATTAATCTTTGGGACATTTGTAATTGCTGGAAAAAATGCGAACGTTTTCATGTTCTTAAAAAAACCCTCATTGTAGCGATCGTGGCGGTCATAAAACATTGATCTAGGTGGAAAATGAACCAACCCACAAAAGTCACTAAAAATAAATGTCTATCAAAACTGTCTCAATCGGAGTCACGGTTAGTTTGCTTTTTTTTGCCATGGTAACATATACTGTATGTTTCAAGTACCAGTTCAAAGATGTTGTGTACTATTGGTCAGATAAAGTTGTTACATCAAGAGAATTCACCACATACGACAACAAAAAGGCTTGCCCCTAGCACATTTCACAGCTTCAACTGCTACAGACTGTCACTGAAAAAAAATGCATCGGTCAGTCTGAACCATGTCAAGTAAACTATGGAAGTAGCATATCCACAACACAAACTGTGCTAGCACTTTCTTTTCAAGTCTAACCCCAAAAACAGGTACAATTTGGGAGCCACTACTCCGCTCTGTGGAAGGGGGTGGATCGTGGCGACCGGACAGGTTGGAGGTGTGGTTTTACAGTACATTCTCGTGGCCCAAGCCGGGTTCCAGGCAGGCAGCTGCGCGGCCGGTCCTGCAGCATTAGCAACAGTGCATTGACGTTATTGGGACGCAGCTCAGTACCGATGTGTCTGGTGCGAGTACTGTGGCGGCTGCTGGGAGGTAGTTGAATATCCTATGCTGCTCTGTGGCTGTGATGTGCTTGGTCCAGGGTTGGGGTAGGCAGCATGGGGGTTGGAACGCTGCAGAGGGGTAAAAGCAGAAGAAATGCAATCCTTTGGAACGGGTACATCGCAAGACAGCTTTGCCTACTGATTTATGTCTTCGAGAGGTACCGAACACACAGCCTCAAAGCAGCCGCACTTCCAGGCTTCTCTTCACTTACTCTGATTACAGCAGGTGCAGGTATGAGTGTCAGGAACACCAGACTAGAATGTGACAGTCACCACCCTTCAGTTATCCACCCGAATTACCTCCGGTGAGCCTACACCCATCATAGTCAAACCTCCCGCCAACCCTCCAGATGGCTACGGTACGCCCGCACGTTACGCAAGGCTACCTCCGCTCACGGCAGTGGTCGTCTCCACTTGCTCCCTTCCCCTACCAAGAAGGTATATTGGGATGGAGGTCCAAACAGTGCATCTTGCTGCTGCTGAGCCACTCTGCATTATTCTGGACATTTTCCTATACAAAGGATATCCTTGCCACCCTTTTGCGCAACCTCGGAGTAAAGGCTGAGAGCGCTGTGATTATCCAGGCTAAGCTGTCATCTAGCAGCAGCCTTAAAAGTACTTGAGGAGAGTTAAAGACAACAGCGACATGCTTCTCAGTGCAACCAGATACTTCAAGGGGAAATGGCCAAGAGATTGTGGCTTGGGAGGTTCAGGTTAGACACTGGTGGGGCATAAATCACTAAGAGACCAGTACAGCACTAGCAGAACTTGCCCAGAGAGGCTGTGAAGTCTCCATCTGTGGAGGTTTTTAAGACTCAGCTAAACAAAGCCATGGCTGATCTGATTTAGCATTAGCAACAGTCCTGCTTCAAGTGGGAGATTGGACTAGACGGTGTCCAGAGGCCCCTTTCAACCAGCATTTCACAACTATTTACTGAGTGGAATGTTCATCGCTGCAAGAAGCTCTGAGCAAACCAGCAACCGCCTACTTCGATTTTAACCTTAAAGTTAGTTACTTACACATCATGGGTTATAAAGGAAAAAAGGACTGCATGTGAGATTTTCTACCTAAGCACATGACCACTTAGTAACATTTAACGCTTCATTAAACAAAGACAATGCCAGTACATTACTGTGCTGCTTTACATTTATGTTACGGTTTACACACACAAATTTTGAAGTAGAGAAACTGCTGTGTAACTTCTGAACTATTGATATTGCAAGACGCATTAGGATTTTTAGAAAAAGCTGCTTCTAATCAAGGTCTGAAAACTTCTCTAAGATGAATATTCCAGGACTAGCATATTGCTACTGAGACCTGAATACGCATAACTGTGGTGAACCAACATCCTGAAAAAGTAAAATATTAAAATAGCTTTACAGATTTTATAAGCTGCAACATAAAATAATAATTAACTCCTCAATTTTTTTCTGCTGTTCAGCATTTAGAACAGAATCTATAACCAAGATGCTGACAGAAATGAAAAGGCAAACTCTTGCTCATTAGTTAACACACGCTCACAGGACTGAGCTAATTCTCTAGGGGTGTATAGTGTAAAGGGGAAGAAATGGCTGGACCAGCACTTCATGCCAGCAGGAACAAACCAGCACTGCTGAACGGCATCGTTAACACAGTGACTGAACTTTTGTGACATCTGCCTTTAGTCTTGAGAGATGGACTAAGTCACTCATCAACAGAAGTGTCACAGCTCTGGGTCACCCTTCTCCATCTAACAAATACAGGATGTACTTCAGAGAGCACAAATCCCTGAATATTCTATTTTTTCCCCCCAGGTGTGGCTCCTCTATGTAGGAAACTATCAGAAGTTTAATCATTTAAAAACTGACGATTCACTTCAGTTGTAAACACCCTCTGCATCCTGATTTCTAAACCAGACCTTATTTTAAGATGGAGGCAATTAAAAATCATCAGATTCTTTCATGACACCTAGTGCAACAAATGGCTTTCGTTTAAGAACAAATGTAAATATCCAATCCTTTCTAAATACCATTAAGCACCCAGAGGGTTATCACAAGCAAAAGCTCAGAGTAGCGGAAGTGCTCCAGCCTGTTTAATCAAATTGCCTTTGGAAGTGTCACACTGCAGATTTAAATAAGAAGGCAAGGAAGCCTGTGTGACATGTGTCTACTATTTTTACGCATGGCAGAACAGGATACAAGGTCAACTTGCTCTGCAGAGAGTAATTTGAGTTCTGAGTGGATGGAGAAACTGTCTTAGTGTGCCTTGCCCAGGAGATGGCAATCCTTCTTCACAAGCTTTATATGGGGAATTTGAGCAAATCAAATGAAGAACAAAGGAACAGGTGTCTGTTTAAAACAGAGGGCTGTATTGTAATATTTATTTGCCATCTCCTCAAGTTGCAGAATCAGAAGCAAAAAATGTGAGGAATTTTTTTCAGGGAGGCCCGAAACCATCAACAGGCAACTCTTAACTGCTTTTGTTCTAGTGCCAGCAAGTTCAGGTCTCCTCCCTTTAATTACCGTGTTTTCCAGATACCTTAATCAGAACAAATCTACCCACTGCCTTCTTGCAAGACTGGGGGGGCAGGTGGGGGGGAGATGTATTTTTTTTTGAAAACCAAGTGTTTTGCCTCCTAGAGAGACAGCAAAAAGATTAGTCAGGAACAGTCAAGTTACCAACAAGAGCTCCTGAGACAGCAAAGTAGCAGTTATCACTACCTCAAGGCAGAAGTATTCCAAAATTATGTGTGTTGACAAGGGCTGCCCCCAGCTATAACCCTGGGATGGATATCTGAGAGTACAAAAGTTTTCATGAGCATGAGCTGAAAACAAACCAACGTCAACTCCTGCTGAGGTAATTTGAGTCTTCTGACTTCTCAACTAGCAAACCTCAGCTCTTGCTCACAGAAGTGGAAGCTGAAGTTTGTTTAAAATGCAAGCAGCAGCAGCAAAGTGAGGTGAAGGAAATGTTAATAGGGCATGTAAACGGGGTGACACCCTGACACAGTACATGCAACCTCTGCATCAATCTCCTTAGATATGTGACTCAATATGAGGGGAAGATTAAGAGAGTTACAGCTGCATTTGCCTTCTTAAAAATACACTCAGAGAAGTGGTAGGAAGAGCCAGCTAAAAGTCCAAAGCAGCAATGAACTGCAGCTTGCCAAACTGAAAGGGATGAAGCTCCTGTAAAAGAGCACTCTGTGATGCATAATCCAGCTAAAAGAAAGACAATTTTTATACCACTGTTTCAAACAGCTCTAAAAATTTACATTGTTCAAGGAGAATGACTTGGAAACTGATACGCTATTGATGTCTTGGGATAAGCTGAGCAAAGGCACTTGGGGACTGTATGAAGGGTCTCACAACAAAGCTCCTGAAAATGATCTTATTTTATACTCTTTAGTGTATTTTTCACTTTCAAGTTTTGGCCAATGCTGGACGTATACAGATTTATATAAGGATGAGGGTAATGCCCCAAGGCAGCCTTTGAGGATCTCTGATACTCTTAGGAACAGACTCTGAAATGCAAGATTTCAAAGCCCATCGGTGTTTATGGAGCAACGGTATCAAACTGTGAAAACCAAGTTGACAGCAGCAGTTTTATGACACCGTTCTTTAACTCTCCTTAAGCCTTGCTACAGAATATAAGCACAGCTAAGTGAGTTTCCAGTATTAGGGCCTCAGATTTAGATACTAATCTTTAAATTAACTGAGAACACGGCCAGTAATTTCTGACTTCTCCATCTTTTGATTTTATCCAAGAGTCTCTTCCAACTGGCCTTCTGTACTATGCATCCCACGTGAACCAGTAAGTAATAGTTCCTGCAGGCCAACATTTCCACCAGCATGCCTCCTCTTGAAATCTTCTATTCACTAGGCTTCCAAAATCTGCCACCTGTTTAACTGCTCCTATGCATATCATTTGACATCTTCCTTGCTCCTCTTTTGTAGTTTCTTCTCTTGCACTAACTAAAGGTTCTGTCCTTAACCTTATTCTCCCCAGTCTCCAGGAGTAACCTCATCCAAAACCACAAATTCAGGTATCATTCCCTGGAATGACTCTCAAATATTCTTCTGCTCCAGACTCTTCTGATTTCCTAATGTCTGACCACAAGCTCAAATATAGGAAGGCTGGAACACAGTTTTCTTCAAGCTTTTTTCCTACGCTCCTCCTTGTCTTCCTCATTTATTGATCGCTGCCACCTCACCTGTCTCTTCAGATCTGTAATACTGGGCTTACCTGGAATCTCCCTTGGTCTTCAAAACAGAGATTATGACAGCATCATGCCAAGCCTTTCTGTTTGTCACCCAAAATACCACTTTCCCATCCCAACTAAAACTCTTACTCAGATCCTTATTTCACAACTTGTTTACTGCAATACCCTTCGCCTCTTACCATTACAGGCTTATTTAAATAAGGACTGGTATTGTTAGGTGATACAGAGCGCAGCACATAGGTCCCTAATATGAATAATGAAGGTAATAAATCAGTAACTGTAATAGTCTCTGATCCCAAGTTCCCTACTGCTAACCTAAAGGGCATCAGCATACCAATTTACACGGAATCTATTGACTAAATGCATTCAAAAAAACATCTGAAAGATGCCAAAAAATATCAGTTAACACAGTGACATGTACAAAATTGCTTTTTTAGCTTAAAGAAACACTGCTGTAAACATGAGAACCAAATACACGATACATGAATAAAACAAATACCTGATAGTCTGAGGTCATAATAAGTCCACCTGAGGTAGTGGTAGGAGGAACAACTCTCACTTTTTTCAGTGGGGGTCCCTGTGTGTGACTGTTGTCTTGGTTCCCTGGATGACCAGTTCCATTAGTATGGTTATTGCCCTGCTGCTGCTGCTGGTTCTTCTCAATTGTTTAAACACAAAGAAAAATTTCAACTCAAAAACAGTACGTGAAATAGCATGAAAACAGGAAATAGTGTGAAAGCCAGTGAAACATGATGATACTGTTCTTCCAGTACTTACTTTGTCTCCTTTATCATCTGGTTCTTCTTCTGTTAAAAATTCTCGTTTTGGGTAAGGGATTTGACAACCTGCAAAAACACTGCCCCCCAAAAAAGTCTATTTATCACTGTATTAGAACAGAAGGGTTAGACCTGTAAGATTCATACTTCCCCCATGCTAGTTTCAAGTTGCCTGAGCCACAGCCTAATATCTATAATTAATGGTGAAGTTTTCCTTGTCTTTCTTTCATCATATTCTAAACTTAATAAACCTATTCACATTTATTCAGTTGCCTCTTACACACTTATCTAAACTCCTAACAGTTTTCGTGGTTCTGGTAACTGGTGACCAAACTGGTGGCTGGAAAGGTACACCATCTGTTAGGTATCTCCAAGGGCATAAAGAGATATCTTAATCCAGCGATTGCGTCATTCACAGTTTCGGAACTAAAAATACTCCTGGAAACTCTACTGACTATTAATAAAACCACCTGGTACAAAGTATTAAAATACCTAGAAATTTCATCTGTCAATTCGTATCTCATGGTCCACATGGATTTGCTACTGCTAGTGCAAGCTAATATTTACCTGCCCTTAATCAGTAGAATGTATTTATAATAAAGTCTCTGTGCACCTGTTAGCATTACGCATTGTGTATTCACATTAAAATGCCAACCTAAAGTTCAGAAAAGAGCCAAACGCTGTCCTAAAAGCAGTTTCTGCAAATCATTCACATGACAACATTAAATCACAGAGACAGGTCAGGAGCTGTTATAAATAATCCAATAGGTTTTAGTAAAATAATTTCATTTTTAATTAATTGCTTATAAATATACATACCATATTTTATAAATTCTTCCCTAGATAACGGTAGAGAACGATACACAGGATGTACTAATAGCTTTCCTAAAAAGGTGCACGGTCATGCTCTTTGGCTAGTCTTTTGGGAGGGGGGCTTAATTTTTGATGAAATCATTCACTAGCCCCAAATTTTCTTCCTTTTGTAAATCTCCCCACACAAACAAAAGAGGCATGTCTACAGAAAATGGATTTAAGTTGTTAAGGACGTCAGCACAGAGACAGAGTTGACTTCCCCCACCCACTGAATTTACAACAAAGGCTAAGACAGAAAAATGTAAACTAATTAGAGTGTTATCTGGCATTCTGGAGCACAGAAGTGGACCTTCGGGCACTTAGCAGTTGTCTAAAAAGATCTGTAGCATGCATAATCAACCTGTCAGTGAATAACAAGATTAGTGCTGCGACTAATAGGATCAAAGTTCCATAAAGCAAGAGATTAGTAAGAATGCTACTTAATTTTAAAAACCACAAATGGCATTTTAGTGGTTATAGCTTTCTTTGGTTGTTAGACAGAAAGTATTTAGCTCAACATTCACAAACATATTTACAGCAGAGAGAAAGCAAGCATTTCTAAAGCATCTCTGGATGCACTGATAGGTTAATAAATTGATCACTTACTCGGATGTGGGAAGAGGATCTTCTAAGAAATAGGGATCCTGCATAGCCTGTTCTGAGGTAATTCTCTTTATTGGATCCATAGTGAGCAATTTCTGAAGCTGCACAAAAAAAAAAGATAAAAAGCTCTGCATTACCAAAACTATCTACAGAAACTTCATTGCGTTATTCCTGAAAGACGAGCTGATACAAATGAGTCTGAACTCAAAACCCTAACCATAAATGGCATAACCACAGCCTTCTCTCTTGTTAAAACAGTAACTCCATTTCCCACCAAAGAACACCTATTTCTACTTGCAAAGCTCAGGAAACTCACTCAGTTCCAGTCATGAACCTTCTAACAAAAACATTCAGAGTTTCCATGACATACCAGCAGCTTTAATGGTCTACTCACTTCTCACAAGAAGATACAACATGCACATATTTAACCTGGTTTCTTCAACTACACTGCATTTTACAGGAAGCATCATCATATCCTTTTAAATCCAAATAATTCTTAGCAATTAATAAGCAAAAGTGATTTCATGTCCATTACTGCTCATTACTGTCACATTAGTACATCTCCATTGTCATCCATAGTATTTTAAAGATGTTCTATGAAGTCACTCCTTAGAAAATCTTCATGCTATAAAAGAAGGGAGTAATCAACACATTCAAAAAACCCACCTGGGTAGGTAACTTTTTATCACCCACTCCAGTATGTGCTTGCTTACTCTGACAAATATGGACTCTAAGACACGTTTGTGTGCTACACGCTGCTCAAAGGAGCAGTTGTGCAAAAGCTTGACTTGCAGTTGATTTTTTGCACGACACGAGGCAAAATACTCTGAAGAAGCCTAATAAGCTGCCTCCTCCATGAGCACATCAAGTCTGAGCTCTGGTGCTCTTTCACTATCAGTGTTAAGACCTCAGCCTTTATCTTTGTAACAACTGATGAATCAGGTATCATCTACATGAAAGCAATCCTTCCAAAATGCCTGTGTTGGTTAAAGACAATGAAGATGACCACAAAGGATGAATATGCAGAATACAAGGCAAAATACACTATTTCACAAAACAGTTGAACTCAGTTCAACTAAAAATCCAGCAAAACCTTGCACTTTGAGAAAGCACATCTTACTTTCACTGGGAAGTATTGAGAGAGGGCTAAGAAGCACACTAGGTATTTGCTCAGTGTCTAACTTGAAAAATAGCATACAAGATGTTTCAGTGACAGGCGCTAGACCAAAAATCTTAAGGTAACACACACAGATGGAAACTTAAGAAAATAAAACGGACCTAACCAAAGCAAAGTGAAAAATTTGCATAGAGTCATAAGCATGGCTACTTAGAGGGTCGTGCTATGAGAAATGCTTAGGATACAGAGCCAGAAACTCATCTGGAGTAACTCCAAATACCGGAAACAGTCTAAATTCAGCACAGCACTAAGGACTGAAAGGTAATTCTAAAAACTGCTTTTACTGTTTGTACTGGTTTTACTCTTCCACTGTCATTTTGCACCTATGTGAACGTCTCAGAAGCTGGCTGGACTTTATACATTTGTCACTCTTTTTGTCACTTTTTGTTTTGTTTTATTTTTCAATAAAAACACATTAGAAACATTGTGCTGTCTCCGTGGGTCTGAAGATTTTTCTCCGTTCTACGAATAGGAGATCGGAGTGATTTTATTTAACTCTAGCACTGAATAGAAGTGATGCAACCTAAAAATACGTGTTTCTTATTCAAAAAGCTTTAGTGTATGTGCATATATTTCTCCCCATTCACCCAACAGTTATTTTGTGGAATACAGCTATGCTGGACAAGCAACGTCCATGGACAGGAGGAGTTTCAGACACCACACAGAAAAGGGAAAACAGTGAGTCCTCGTGTTTCAATATGGAATACGGCATCCAAGGCAAAAGTACACCCCGATGTATTGTCAAAGCCAATGACCTTTAAAAGAAGTGCCACGCTTTCAACCTATCGCTTTTGTTTTTTAAATCATGGATCTAACAAGATACACAGAAACTACAGGGGCAAATCACATGAATTTCACATTTGCTATTCATACTTTTCATGGAATTAAATTCACCTTTATATAAAGATCCAGTGGCATGATCTACATCTGAAAGGGCTGTCTCCTTTCACTAGCTATTAAGTGAGCATACACTACCACGATGCAGACTGCCACACTGCAGATAGGTAAAGTTAGAGAGTACATTTTTTTCCTCAGCCCTGAGTATTAATAGCAAGTTAAGAACATTAATAAATATGTATTATCATCATCAATCCAGTTTTGGTTTTCATATCATCAACACAGACTCAGAATAAGTTACTGCAGCTCTCTGAGTCTGCGTGCAGCCTTTGTAGAATATCAGTTTGAACAGAACATTTCTTGTTCCTGTCAAAAGCTCAAAAAGCAAACCCAGGAGCCAGAAAAGGGGAAGGCAAAAAATAAGAAAGAATTTCCAACATGCTGAAAAACACCACAACTGAAAAGCATTGCAAAATTTTGGCACCATTTCTGGCAATTAAGTTATAAAGCTGTCCATCACATGCTGAAAAGATGTGAACAAACTCGGTCATACTCAGGAACAGAAAACACAAACCACAAGAAAAGTTTCATGATTGTGAAATCGTTATCACAAAGGGCATCAGAACTCCTATTTTGATCCCTTGTTCAGGTGCCAGCACCAAAGTGAATCTTCCACCTGTTATTACAAATATTTTCTATTTCAAAAACCGTTCAATTAAAAGATCACCTGGCTGGATGACATAATGAAAATGCAGTAAACCATACATCAGCAATGAATGCGACAGTCACTGCTGTTGATATGGACCATGATAACCAAATAAAAGATGAAGCATCAGTCAACCAGAAGCAGCAGCCACACACCTGTTTTCTAGGGCATAAACAAATAAGTAGAAAGAAAAGATCAGGAAAGTGGAAAAAAATGTAAGCTGCAAAAGCAGGAAGGAGCCAAAATTGTCTCATGTTAACACATCAGTTCTGCATGTGAAAAGGGACCATGTGCCTGAATATCAGTACAGAGGGAAAAAATCTGGTTAATTCAAGACGGGAAATCAAAACACTTCATTTTTGGCAATGACAACAATCTCTAGATTTACTAGTCCTGGAATTACTAGTTGTGGCATATTTCACAATAGCAGATGTAACCAGCTTTTTTATCTGTTCTGATGCGGAGAGTAAAAGGGCTGTGAGACAGTTTGTGGAAGAGTCAATCTTGGAGTATCTCTGGAAGAACTGGACCAAGAGATTCACTGAACTTATTCAGGCTGTGGTGGAGGGGCCAAAGGCATGCATTTGCCTCAAACAACAAGAGTGAGAACTTAAGGCACCTTCTGATTTTCACAGCCTCTGAACAGTGTTTTAAGACATTACTTTGGAAAGACCAGGGTTTTTTAATGGGATCTGGATTTTCAGTGAATTGTTCTGACAGACAGCAGAAAACAGAGAAGTGCTTGACCAAGGATGGAGGGGTGGTGGTGGCCTGGTAAAGGACACCGTTCCTTGATTCTGCATTTGAATGTAACCACTACTTTACACAGAATACATTCAAACCGCTATCACCCTGTTGTGATACTGCAGGGAGAAAACATTGTAGGAAGTGTTTTAAGCTATTCTCACGTAACTATTTTGTGTCTAAGTTTTTTTGTTCTATTGAAAACAATTTCTGACCTTGCAAGACTGGGAGAGCGGATGAGAAATTTCAGGTCAGTTTGGCCAGAGCACTCACAGCTTGTAAGAGAAGCCAGCTCACTCAGAGAAAGCCTTTTCATGGACCACCAAGATGTACAGCAAAGCCTGACCTACTCACTCTTACCTGAGGTTGGTGTTAAGACAGCAGACTAAGGCAAGAAAGAAATACTTGAGGAATCAAGGGAGAGGAAAAGCACGTACATTACCTGAAGGTGAAGTCACTGGCCACGTTATACAGGTTGTTGCACGGTAAAGGTTTCTACCTCAGATTGCCCAGCTATGATATGAAAATCTAAAGCAATTGATTTTAATTGGCAGAACTGACTTTTCTCAGCTATTTGCCACTAGCGGCAATTAGCCGCTTTTAGATTTTGGTACAGCAAAATAAGCTTAATTTTGAGAGCTTTAGATTCCAAATTTGTAGGTGACAAGCAGCATGTTTGTTCTCTAAAAAGTTATAAAGGCAAGTACTGATGCATGCAGTTGCTTAATTTTATGCAACACCTGCCTACAGTGACTGATGAGAAAGATCTGCAAATTCACTCAATTTGCTTTACCTAAGAGTCCAAGGATGAGTTTTTATATCCCAACTCCGTTCTACACAAAACATCATATTCCACAGATACTTCGTGTTAATTGTTTTTTGCTTGTTGAATTACTTAATAATATAATTTTCAGAAATCTTATTTAGGCTTTGATAAGAATATACCTACTTGCTATGTTAAATATCTTTTTTAAGGTATGTATCACATACTAAAACATAAGACCATCTTGGTAAATACTAAAAATGCATTTCTGAAGCTGCGTTATAAATAGCTACACAGTAAAAACTTCAGCACTTCAGTTCTTTACATATCAACATCAACTTTTTTATGCATTACATACAAATATACTGACTGCTCAGCAGCTTCCAGTTGTGCTTGCATACAAAAATCCATCAAAAATCCAAAATCTCTATCAGAGAGGACTAGTTTCCTTGCTTCTGTAAACACCTCTAGTATTTCACCAACTTTTAACTTCAGAGAGCAGAGACACTTCACAGTAAATGATGCATAATGGTGCAACTGCCAGCTAACTTGTTGCAATGAGTACTTGATTCAGCTGGTTATACTTTTGGTATACATTCTATTTTGGACTGGTTGCAATATAACTCATCCGCTTGGAAATCTCCATTCAAAAACGGTCATGCAGTATGCCACAAGAAGAATATTGCCTCAGAACTGCTGTGACTGAAGGATAAATTCCAAAATTTAAATGAAGGAAAAAGTACTTGAGGAAAAAGTACTGACCAGAAAAAAGATGGCTGCTTAAAACCCCTGGTGTCCGATCATCAGAGAAGGTGCAGCTTCCAGTGACTTGAACAAAAGCCACACGGTCCTCACCTACACCTCTTAACCGTCTTCATTTCTCTCCAATTTATTTCTTTCATCTCCAAGATCAAAAAGCTTCCTGTTTTCTCCTCTCACTCCTGCCCCCCCAATAATATATTTACCTTATAATTCTAGACTGAAAACATTTGATCTGAGTTGGAAACATTAAGATACAGAGAATGTCCATTCAGAGACTAGATATACTTAAATTCTTTCTTCTCTCTCTCTAAACGTTTATTTTAGAGACTTGAATGTTCTTTAAAACACTGAAAAAAAGGCCCAATATAGTAATTTCCAAAACAACATGATGCAGGCACTTCCAGGGCTGAGCTAGTGTAGAATTTTAAGTGGAGTCTTCATCAAAAAAAAACCAAAACCAAGTTGTATGTTCTAGAGAGAAAATAATTGATGGAAGAATACTAGGAAGTTTTCATAAGAAAGCCACACAGTAGAGCATGAGGAAGTCACATTAAAAATTTTCCAAACTACTGTTCAAGTCTTTTTTTTATTAGTTGAAAGTCTGTAAGACATAAGCTTAATAATAAACATGTAAAAAATTAGGCATTTAGGATTTTTTAAAAAATAAAACCCAAGCAATTTAAAGTACGCAAAGCAGCAAAATAGCAAAGAGTTGCAGCAACCCTGCAAATATAATTATAAACTAATCACAACTTAAAGACTGAAAGCTTCTGATACACTCGATACAGAACCTAACCCAGTGAATGACTCACAGAATCATTTTATCAATGTGAGAAGATAAAGTGCTTTTGCAATTCTCAGATTGTCAGTTATTCCTAACCTTATTTATAAAATAAGGCACAATATTTATAAAATAAAGTTAGTCACAGTGTACTTGACAGCAGCTCAACTCTCACATTGAACACTGTAACTTATATGAGGGGTTTGATTTTTTATGCATGCAGGAACTTACCAAGTGAAATGCTTTACTATCTGGTTTAACTTTATGTTTTTCCATATATTTGATAAGGCTGCAGTTGGTATACCTAGAAAAGTAAAAAAAAAGTGGCATTTCTAATATGCAAAGCTGATACAGAATCACAGAATGGTTTGGGTTGGAAAGCTCTCTTAGTAGCCATGAAACACATTGCTAATCCACTAAGCAGGGCAAACCCACAACTACCAATGCCAGAGATGGCTTAAAAATCATTCAGACAGCACAGAAATGGATGTTTCCCTCACATGCTTGTAAAAACACATCATATCCACACAAAAAGTACACTTTTAACCCACGTGCAAACACTGAACTGTGACTTGGATTTAAACTGCCTTTTCGCAATTTTGTTACTATACAGTTTCATTCTGTGCATTTCTAATGCAAGTAGTAAACAGGAAGATAAATACGAAGCCCACCTTAACACTCTCCTGCAATGTATAGGTTGCTACAAGAACAGCCATGAATTCATTTTTTTGAAGAGGAGCTCAGAAATAAGGTTTCTAAATGGCAGACGCAAAAAATGTATGTAATAGTACAGCCCCAAATGTCTCAGCATGGAAACAAGGCAACAGGGAAGGGTCTTAAGTGCAGGTATTAGACTCCAGCAATGCATCAGCAAAACTGAAAGCTATTCTTTTCTTTAGCCTTCATAAGCTACCCCAGACACCAAACCTGACAATTATACCCACTGTTTCCTGGAAACAGTACAAGGTTACCAGATCCCTTTTATGCAGCTATCACAGAAAAATCATTTCCAGTACTACAGATTTGGAAACAGCTGTGACAATCTGTGCTTACCAATCTTCAGAGCTGTGTGGGGTCTTACCAGCATCACCCGTTTCACACCTGCCACCTTACCATTTACCGTCTGTCTCTGGCTACTCTTCTGATTCACACCACCTCGACAAGCCAAGTTCACCATTACAAAAGAATTTTATTTTTCTTTTTTTCACAATCTAAGTCACAACCATTTCACAGTCCTTGTTTGGCATCTACACAGAAAACAACCTGAGCTACAAGAAATTTAGGGTAGGAGGAAGAAGAAAAACATGCTTTCTTAAGAAATCTCAACTCCAAGCAGACTTACGTGTTTCTCCGGAAATCTTTCATTAAAGTTGAATGTTCAGGCATCTTTTTTATGTCTTCCCAATCTTTATCTGCAAAATCAGTATTTATTAATAATTTTTTTTTTTCCTCTAACCCTCCCAAGTAAAATAAAGGCTTTCCAAGTACCTCCGTAGGCCTGATTTGTTTATTTTAGTCTGCTTCTCTAACCTTGCAGTTTCTTATTTCTTTGCAACTCCTTGGCTCATTTCTTCATCACCTCTTCACAATAAATCTTACCAACACCTACAAGGTTCCAGCTGTGTGCTGATTAACTCAAGAACTTTAAAAGACAGCTGCCAGCTACAGTGAAGATCACCATATGCCCAAAAGGCAGCACAGAAGAAAAACAAGTCAGCCATCGTGCTTGCACCCTTCAGTACCGCTATTTAATTTATTTTGGCACAGTTGTGATCTCGGGACAGGAGTACCCAAGACCCCCGCAAACGCTGTCTCCTTCTAAGGGATTTTCCATTCTGACAGCACTGTCTCTAGTTACTAGAAAATGCCCAGGGGTACTGTGTTAATTTCTGCTGTCTCAACATAAAAGAAATACTGTTAGCCAACAAAAGGTTATGAAAAAGTAACATTTGCACACTCAAATTAAAGAATCTTTCATCTCAGCTTCTCTGGGTAGATAAAGCCTGAAATGGATTTAAAAATAAAACAAAACCCACTGTGAGCACCTAGTCTCAAATGTATTATGCTCCCTAACTCCTGAAAAGGCTCTGTGGGCAAGTAGTTTCCTTCATGTCAAATATTTACTAAGTCTTATCACAACTGCAGAACACTGGGAGCTTAAAAATTTGAAGTGAATAAACAAATCAGATTAATTATTAAAATCTCCTCTTTACCTATCCCAAAGACACGTGAAACTGTTTCAAATATGGCAAGAGCCAATTTAAAAGCAAAAAATTTGCTGCAAGTGAATGAAAAAGAATGTTTCTTGGTAAGAATCAAAGACCTTAAAAGAAGCAAAAACAGACCATTAGAAAGGATTATTTAAACCAACCCGAAAACAATAATAAGAGTATCATCTATTTGTGTAAGCTACACAAAGACAATGTAAAACCCAAATGAAGCAAGAAAAGCCTAAGAGAAGGGTAAAATTCTAGGCTAAAAGCAGAAAATGATAGTATTGCTTAAAGGAGCAAAATTAAGTGGGATTTTCAAGAAAATATGAGTACTTAATAGCAAAGGCAACTCTTCAAGGGATACCATACAGCAGTACAGAAGCAATGAAGTACATACAGTACAAAAAAAAGTGAAAAGGAAAAATAAGAGCAAATTTAATAACAAAATTCTAGAACCACACAAACATAACGACCACAAAATTAATGGAGGAAGAAAGTCCACCAGAACAGTAAAGAGAAAGACTATTGATAGTGAATGGACCATAGCAGGGAACACAAGCAGTGAGGAGAAAGATGACCAAAAAGTAGAAATAAGGCCCCTGTTACTCTGACACCTGCAATCATGTGAACACCAGAAGACAAAGCATTAACTGAAAAGATGCAAGACAGCCTCTAGAAAAACAAGATATGATCAACATTGAAGGGAAAATGCAACAAGTGATACCCACATTGCAATTTGTTTTGGTTCATGCAACCAATTCTTTGTTCCATTTTGGAATCAAGAAATTTTCTTCTTATCACAAGTTTTCTACCAGGGGAAAAAAGAAATCAAATACCTTCCCCTTCTTCCACATGCTATGTTTAATTTAGCATGAGTTAAACATCTGCATAATATTCACTAAATGTATAGATTTTTGCTTGATTTCTGTCTCTTTCCAAATCTACAATCAGTACTGAAGAAATGCAGAACTACTCCTGATTTTTAATCATCCACCACTAAACACAATCTTTTAAAATTATAAAACATCACTACAAAGATAATCCTATCATTAATAATAGGAAAAATCTAATATTACCATTAGATTCTAGATTTACAACTCATCAAATGAAGACTTGTTTGAACAGCTTTGTTGCTTCGATCAGCTGCCACCTTCATATGTAAAGAAAGCAATAGAGATTATCTTTCTTTAAACAGCAGTGGTAAAAAAAAAAAGTACAGTATGTACCTGCAGGAAATCCCATTACATTGAATATTCTGTCCAGCTGGTCATGGTGATAAGGATTACTAGTTTTGATATCTTCTTGTCGACAATGGAATATTGGCTCTGATGTTAGCAGCTCTGCAAATATACACCCTATGGCCCAAATATCTTTAAGAAAGGAGAACAGAAATTAAAAAAAAATAATCAAATTTATCTTTCCAAAAGCATCTTGGTGAGGTAGAATGTCAGTTTTGAGCTTATCAGAGATAAGGTCCCTGCACTGAAAATTTCGAGTTTCTATTGCAGAGGCGCAATACTTCCTCAACTTTTCCTTTTAGCTACAGATAGTGGCACACAATTCAGTAACCACACAGTAGCTGAGAGAGTACCATACAAGTTTTTGTGGGGTTTTAAAAGTGTAGTTACCATTTATCGCTGAAAAAAATTAATTTGATTAATAAAAAACTCAAAGGAAACTATTTGGGTAACTGGCCACGCATAAAATACAAATGAAGAAAAGCCAACCAATATCTTGCCCATTCACTGCCATACTGTCCCTGCCAAGAAATAGGCCCTCTCTGATCACCCACTGGATTTAATAAGTATTAAATGACCCAAAAAATGTAAGTTGAAAAGCAGTGCTATTGGAATAAGCCAAATGCTTACTGCACAAAGAGAGTAACAAGAAAATCGCTCCATGCCCACACACCTCAACCCTTTTTTGATAACGTTCATTTAAAAAAAAAAAAAAAACACAACAAAAACCCCTTTAACTGTTGTGTCTCAGTCTGCAAAATCAGATAGCCTGAATTTTCCCAGTTGTTTTCCTGATTTTTTTCTAGCATATACAAATGCAATTTTTAACTTAATGAAGTAATGCTACACTGAACCTTGAATGAACAAGAAAAGGTCATGAACAAGGACAAAAGCAAATGATGCAGAGAGCGTAAGTCCATTACTCAGTGCTTGCATACAGTCAGTTTTTATCTATGCTGAAAAAAAATTATGTACTAAAGTCTATGACCAACCATGCAGCTACACATGCTGAAAGCAGAAGAAAATGCCAGTAAAGTGAAGGAACATGCAAATACAACAAAAAAAGCAGTTAAAGGAACACACAAAGAAATTTATTTAATTTATAAAAGAAATACAGTATTAACAGAAAAGTAAATGAAAACACATTTCAGTCAAACAGTAGAATTTCTGACAAAAACATTGACAAGATCTTAAAAAAATAATGCCTACGGTCTGAGGAAAGAATTTCAGGTTACAGAAACAACATGTATGTTGACATACAACCTCCATGTTTGTTCAAAGTAAGTGGAGCATTGCAGGGGAAGTTCTTTCGCCCAAAATGGTTGCCAGGCTTTAACACACCTTTTAAACCACCCAGCAAGAGAAAAACTTCCCAGTCCTCTTCCCTATAGTCTCTCTCCCTTCCATGGCAGGGCTGTTCACATCCACTAAAGGCGAACCTCCCTCCAGCTTGCTGCTGGGCTATTCCCCCAGTCCCACAGTCACAGCACACACTGGCTCCTGCTGCCAGCCACCCCTTACCCCCAAAATGGCAGAAGCAGAGACTGGGAGATCAAAGTCAACTGTGCTGTGCTGAAGCTGTTAAAATTCAGACTGGTAAACATGAATTAAGTGGTGAGAAGGATGCAGCATTAAGGTGACGTAACTAATGCCATTCTCACAGCATCTGCATCCTGTGAGATTTGGTTTCTTCTGGATATGCCTGATGCAGTGTCACCGCCAAGCCCATTGCGTGACTCTAACCACATCTCACTAATTCAAGCAGTTCGTTTACACTTGTGCTTCAAAAAAGACACAGAGAGAGGATAAAACACAGCTTATTTTTACAGTTTAGTTTCAACGCAGCCAATATATTATCCATTCTGTACATTCCTCATTTCATGTATTTATTACACTATGTAAAAACCTCTGCAATAAAATTAATGCACTGTGCCCCATCATCACCATAATGCCGATTTTACTAATAGTTGGAAGATGCTATTTGTATTCCCTCTAAAAGCATTTATGAAAGTCTTGTGTGAAAGCCTTATAAACTTGCATTGCATTTCAGGGCATTTGGAGCCAAAACCCAGAAATATTTCATTCCTATATATAGCCAGAGACCGTAGTAAACTAAACAACATTGTCAAAGTTGTTGTCAAACTTCAAGAAATCAGTAACAACCTTTAACTCAGCAACTGTCATTTGTATTATTTATCAATGCTTCAATATTTGGGTAGACTTTACATAAAAAACAAAATAGTAAGTTTTCATCCAATTTACTTACCAATAGCTTTGGTATAATGCCTTGCTCCAAGAAGCAACTCTGGAGCTCGATACCAGAACGTTACAACTACTGGATCCAAGTCTGCTAAAGGCTTCAGAGGTGAATTAAATAATCGGGCAAAGCCCATGTCAGCTGCAAAATTCAAACAGAGATGCTTTAAAATTTGAGGAAAACTATCTATTTTTTTCTTTTTTTTTTCCTTTTCTTTTCTTTTTTTTTTAACCAAACTGATTGAGTTTACTTGTTAGCACTACCATCACTGCTAAATAAAATGCAAACGCAGACTGTAGCAGATATGAATTGTGTGAGTAGATTTCCTTAGAGCTTTTGTAGAAGTTACTGGATGTCATCACCTATAAAAGTATATCATTATAAATCATTACTAACATGAGCCATTTAGAATGAAGAATCAACCATTGTTCTGAAAAAGCGCATCAATTCACTTCTCAGGACACTGGTAAATCCTGACTCATTTCACCTGATATTGTCTGGTAGAAAATTCTGTTATTACAGGATTGTCTTTCAAGAAGCAGCATTTTAAATGTGAGCAGGTTCTGGTAAGGTTAGAATGATTTATAATACATACGTGCACATCACAAAAGCTCCCTCCTCATGAAGTTAGCTGTAGCAATATTTCCTTCACACAAAACCAGCAACTAAGCCTACAGCATCTGCATTCCTAAAAAAAAAGTCAAAGAAGTATTTCCCGTATCAAGATACCAGTACTAAATACCATTTATCGACTATGATTTTAAAATTCTGTTTGGGGGCACTATATCAAAGATTGCCTTTTAGAATTGGTAGTATACAACTGCCTAAAAAGCTATCTGAACTTCCAAATATAAGTGACACAGGAAAAAATGGGCAGAGACTAAAATAACGCACCTTCTCCCACCAAATCGCTTTCCCGACCCATCACTCCCCAAATCCCAAGACAGAGGGACTCTGTGGTGCAGGGATGTACACATGCTGAGAAGACTCAAACAAAATGAGATGAGTAGCCGTTTTGAGGGAAAAGGACCTACATATTATAGCTCACTGGTTGAGGGAAGACTTCAGGGTAAATATGGGTCTCAACTTGACTACACAATTCTTAATTTTTTTCATAGGCATTCCTATTTATGATTGTTTTAATGCATTTAAAAAGAGAAACATTTTACAGTTTTCTACATTAAAATATCGATTACTCAAGATATGATCAAGTCACTGGTAACTGAAAAATAAGGAAAACTGTTGGCAGAAAGTGAATTTATGACTCAAAATGACACAAAAAAGCCTATAAAAATTATTTTAAGTTAAATACCAGTTATGTATTTTTTAGAAAAATTAGTTACACTGGAAAAGTGGAAGCCCTTGGTATGGGTATAACTTCTGCATTCTTTTCCTGCTGTGGTAATATCTTAAGAAAATAAGGAAAAAAAAAAATCTACATTTTGATAGCACACTTAGAAATCCAGGGTCCCCCTCCCTCTTCCCCCGCTGGGAATGGATGGCTCAGAGGACTGGTGGTCCGATACAGAATCTTTCACCTGTCCATTAACAGAGTCTGACTAAACTTTGTTGTGTTCTAAGTTATTCCCAAATTAATTCAAAGCTGTAAATTAAGAAATAAATGGGTGGTCTATGTGCAATTACTAGCAAGTAGTTGTGTACAGCAAATATCACCACCACAGTTGAGAGTGAACATGCCCAGAGGATGATCTACATTCTCAATTTTGGAAGCAACCGCTCTGTGAAGAATAAGGTAATAGGAAGAAATTTTCCCTTCCGCTGTCCGTGCTGTACCTGTTTTGTACGGAGAAGACCTCAATCTCTACTGTCAACCTTAAACCTTGGAAGGGCATTAAAAACGTTCAGGGTAGGATCTGCAGAAGTGTTCAGCCCTGGCCCATCTGCTCCTTGGATTTCAAAGAGCAAGAGAAAGACTAGACCAGCACTGAACACTCCAAAAAAATCCCACTCCGAATCATTAAACTAGTGATTAACAATATAGTTCAGATAAACAAAACAGTAAGAGTACAGAGCACCAATGCAGAAGAATAATCTCATAAAAGAAAGCCAGAGGGAAGTGGAAAAGATGAACTAGCTTTAAAAAAACCCTTCCGAACAGGGCTGAATTACCATAACAAATGGAAGCAGGCTGTGCATTAGCACTCTGCTATCAAAGCTGCCACGCTAACGCACAGCCTGGTCTAGCTTATTACTGTTAGGCTACAGTTAATTTTTATTTATTTATTTACTTTATTTTAAAACAACTGAAGTTCTACAAATTATCCTCTCCCTGTGAACAGCAACTCCCACAAGAAAATGCTACAATAGTGGGGAAAGTGTTGGGTCCTTCCTACCCTGGTACACCCCAGTTTGAGCATTTAGCAGTAGTTTTCACTAAGCGTTTTGGCTGGATTACTGTGGGTTTTTGGACTTTTAAGATCCCTTGCGTTTATCTCGAAGGGACCTGTCTACCCTTTCAAGAACATTTTGTAGGCTAAATGCCACCTGCGATTCCATTAGAAAATTTAAGGTTTGTAGCAATGAGTAGTTCCCTATTTAGATTTTATAAGCAGCAGCAAGATAATGTCATAGCATTACAGGGGTAAATGGAGGAAATTTTAAAATCCCATTTGTTTCTCCTCCTTTTCCCCTAGCTACCTGTCATCTTTATCCCATAACAAAATCCCCCACCCCACACAAACACCCACTTAAACAAAATATAATGACATTTTCCACTTTTTATTGATGAAGTTACAGCATTTCATCATCAGAACTGGTGCATGGGGCTAATATCAAAAAGCCAGTCACTCAGAAAACAGCATTTAGGCAATGTGCCCAGGCACATGCTAGTATTACAGTGACTACTTTAGGTGGTACGACTGCACCTTCAGAACATTCTAACTTAAATGCTACACTGGGACTTATCAAAGATATAAACATACCAATTTTTACTCTTCCTCGCTCAGGACCTTCACCCATAACTAAAATATTAGCAGGTTTCTGTGGAAAAAAAAATAAATATACAATACATATACCACGATAAACCTAAACATTAGTCTCTGAAAAGTTAGTTAAGCTTTGTTTTGCCAGTTTCAAACCAACTTTGTTTTGATAAAAATGACAAGTTTCTCTGTCACAGTAAAGCTGTGCAAGGACCCAGACACAGGCTTTCCCTGACTGCATCTTCCTTGTATTTCTTTTCGGCGTTTCTGTGCTCCAGCACCATGCTCCCTAACTGACACCCTGGTGTCTATCCTCAACCCACATGAGCTGGCAGTTGCCGAACCGCTGAGATTTCTACCAAAATTGCCCTAGATCCTTTTGGCAGGAGGCAGTCCCGTTGCTGCCCACCACATGCACCTCCAGCACAGGGAGGGGAAGCCAGCTCTGCAGCGTGTTTTGCCCAGGGTCATTACACACATTTGCGGATATATTTTACAGTAAAAAAAAAAAACTGAGTAAGATACAGATTAAACATCACCATGTCACTTCATATTGGAGAGAAAAATCACCTAAATTATTCCTATCTACAAGTGTATACCAATTCAGACAACTGCAAAACTGGAAAGCATTGCCTTTACATTATTTTCCTCTCCATCTTCCCTTTCTTTCTTTTACAAGACAGGCAAATTTAAGAACTGAGCTAGAGTTCAGCTGGTTAGAAATGTAACCCCTCACTTCTTAATCCTACATTTTCTGCCATCCTGCTTCTCATAATCCAGTCAGCGTCTGCAGCCAGAATATTCATCAAATGCTAACACTGTTTATATAAAATAAATCTGCAGTGCTTATTTTGAGGGGAAAAAAGTCAGGAAACTCACACTAAAGCTGAAAATGTATGCTAGACTTGTTTTGAAATGGAGTGATTTAGATACCCATTCATACTGTAAATCCAGGACAAAACAGGGGCTCCTATTCGGTTGTGAACTCAAAGAACTATAATAAGGCTGAGTTACAGCTCTTGCTTTGCTTTCCCAGTTTAAATTTATCTGAAGAAAAAAGTACACCAGAAAGATAGTTTAGGCTACCTAAAATTTAGTATAACAAATCCTAATATTCCAGTGTCATTTACTAACATATTCTAGGAAATTCTCAAGTCTTCCTGAATCTATAAGGCTCTGATGTAAACACATTCAAAGAGACAAAAGACCACAATTTGATATTGACCTAGAAGTAATACACAATGTTTAAAACAAGGTGCAAAAAAATTAATAATCCAGCAAAAAATTTCCTTGAGAAACTTAATTACTACTGCTCATGGAAAGGCTCAACATGGATTTCTGAAACTGTACAATCCACACAGAAAATACGTAAAACGAATTTGAGGTGTTGAGAACGGGTTAAAGACAGAAAAAATTGTTATAGCTTAACTGTGATCAAAAAGCTAAGATAGAATCCATTATCTTTCCAACAGCAATAACAACAGATCCAACTTGTGCTGCATTAGCTCAGTGATATGCAGAAAGACTTGTGCCCCACATCACCACCCCCTTTTTGATTCGTTTTTTTTGTTGTTGTTGTTTTTTAATAAATGCATACACTTCAGGTAAATACTGCTTCAACATAAAAAAAACCTGCAGTATGAGGGCACACAGCTCACAAAACATTCAATTTTGATTGTTTCTAGAAAAGTTCTAGAAATAAACAAGCAGCATAAATCTTTAAATTCAGCATTAACGTTGAAATTTAAAGCAATTCAAACTGCTAGTTAAGAAAACACATTATTTCACCACATAAACCATTCTATTGCTATGCTGGGACTCAAAGAGAAAATATGCGTATCTTTCAAAAAGCTGCTTCAATATATCTGAGGTTTTAATAAGCTACACACCTAATTAATATTTTTTAGTTAGAGTTAATGATAAATTACACAGGCACTAAAATTTTTCAGATAAATAATATATTGACCTAAAATGTAACTTCCCCCTCTCTCTTCTCACAGGTTGATAACACTCTACAAAAATGCTTGTAACATCCTCATGATCTTTTTCCTTAAAATATTTCACTATTTGGATTTTGATAGGGACAAGAAGCCATATTCACACAAAGACTCCACTATGTCAGATGGTTAATCAGCACAGCACTGGGTAACAATTCCTGCCCCAAACATCTTCTACCCTAAGTTCAAGGTAGGTACAGATGAGAAAAGAAAGCACAAAGAGGTAAGACAGTACTGGTTAGCAAAATAAGTAGCAACAGCTTGACTCACACTCAGATTTTTTTCCTCTCACGATTTAGAGAAAACATTTAAGAATACAAAAAATTCAGAAATCCGCATAGGAGTCTTCTAAAGTTGCAAAATAAAAAAAAACCCTCAGTCAATATGGAATACCCATTCACCGAAGTCCACCTCTTTCTAGAGTCACTGAAACAGCTCTGTTTGAAACAGAAGATTCTCACTACAAACAAAAATATTTATGTAGTCACATCACTGTAAATATACAACGTTACAGTTAAAGATCAAAAAAAATTAAATTAAACATGAGAGGTTTTATTCTGAAGGTTCTCATTTCTAAAATAATTTCATTAGTAGCCTGGAACAACATTGTTAGTTGAAAGAGTTTTTCAAACGAGACCATTAATCAGTCTTTAAATTCAACTGGGGAGTATCCACCAGAAAGCAGCATAGGGACAGTACTGTTGTTCCTAACCCATAAACATTCTGAGAACTCCCTGAAAAGCATTCAAGTCCACTGATAAAAGTCAAAACGTGGGGTAGGGATTCTTGTTAGATATCTTTGACTCAAGTCCATCATCTGGAGGAAAAAAAAAAAACCAACTCTCCAGATTTGCCTCTTTGGGCAACTCATTACACATTATAAATTCATTTGCAAAGAAAAATAAGCAGTCATTAGAAACAGAAGGGAGAAATCTGGACAAACTTCAGTTCAATTTGTTAAATTTCACTTTAATTTTAATTATCCAGGGAAGATGCAAGTTTAAAGTGCTTATTCAAACCACTTGGGCTGGGCAAGTGAAAAAAAAAAAACAACCTTTCAGTAATTTTTATACTGGGTTCTGACAACACACTGCTTTTAAAACAGCTTTTTTCTTTTTTATAACTACAAATGGGCCAACTCTTCACAGTCACTCATTTTTGTTCTAATAGAGGCATATTTACTTTTGCCATCAAGTAAAATAATTTGCTCATGCCAGACAAATGCAAATGAGAGAGCTGTCATGATCCTAAACCGAATGTGAAGAGCCATGCAGCGATGTACAGCTGAATACTTCAGAGACCAACAAAATAACTTTCTGACGACCCCACAGAAAGAAATTTAAGAAAAATTATCTTTCTTCTCCCCCAGCACCCCACCTCAGCAGCAAGGGAATAATTCATTCTCATACAGGAATGGCCTTGTGACCATGGCACTGCACTAAATCTTATCTTGTCCTAGATCTGGCTTTGCAGGACTCCTTGTGTGATCCCTAGACAAATCCTAACCTTGTGCATCTAATCACTATTACTACTGAAGAAAGAACAAAGATCCTTACTGAAATATTTCTAGGTACTTCTAATTTAGCCATTATTCGCAAAGCGCAAACAGATATCCTAAGAAACAGGCTAATTTCAAACGAAGGTGCTAAAAAATTAGAGGCCAACAGGTTCATAGATCTTCACCTAGTCACCTTCATCCATCTGCCTGAACGACACATGATACGCTCTCTGTTCCCCCCAATCTAAAGTCTCTGATGATGCAGGCTGCATAATTCCCAGGCAATCTACTCTCTCTCAACTCACCTCTATTGCAGTGGTTTTCCTTTCCTTCTAACACAACAAATGAGGTTACTCCCACTGCCTCTTCTCTTATACATCAGCAGAAAGAGTAGACAACCACTCCTTCACTGCAAGGACAACTTACACATCTGAAGATCTACATTTTTTTTCAGTCCTATCACCTACATTAAAAGAAGTCTCTTCTGCTCAGTGTTTCCTAGTAGGTAATTTTTTCTGATGTATGATCATTCTTGTCACTTCCCTCTAGCTGTTCTGCCTTGGGCCACTTGTTTGAATTCAAGTGCTCCAAATTACACACTGCTCCTGCTGAGGCTTTGCTAACACTAAATACAGCAGAAGGATTGTTTTATACACATTGCACAGCATCTTCCACTTTATACACTCCCAATATGGTATCTTGTTTTGCTGCACTGTGTAAGGCTATCGATTCACATTAAGGTTACGAGCCATGCATTTTCTTCACATCTTTTCTGCAGGACTGCTACCTTTTTTTTAAAAAAAAAAACAAACAAACAACAAAACAAACCCAAAAATGTTCCATTTGAACAAATACTGCAGTCACACTGCTTCTTAACATACACTGAAGATGTCTGTGTTCATTCAGAAGGGAAACTCAGATTTTAGAACTTATTTGGTTTTCTATTTTGAAGATAAAAATGCAAACATGAAAACTATACTAATTAATCTATATCTTGATGAGGTCTGATCATATCAAAAAAAGACAGCATTCCTGTTGCTCACAGCAAGTTATTCACAGGAGTGGGAGATTATTATCTACTCTATGTCCGCATACTAGATGTCTGGAAATCACAGGACACTTTCTGATGCTCCAGGAAAGGAATTCTGCTGTTGGGTCCTCCTTCCACTAAGTCTTACTCATCAAAGCACCAAGGAAAAAACCTGGGCTTTTTGATAGTTTAGCCATTGTGATCTTTGACACTTATTACTTTTAGCGTCAAACCAGGTCTGTAGGAACTACTACTCCACATATTTTTTGCTACTAGGCTGTTTCTGAACTCAGTAGTTTTCAGAGGTTGATTTTAAACATACCTATCAATGAGTAACCAAAATTCTTTTGAACTATCTATGATATTATAATGTAGATGCTACCTTTTTTCTCCGCCACTTATTAACTGTTCGCAGTATTCCCATGTATAGTTATGAACAGACTCATCCTGTTTGCACCCCCATTTTAAAGCACCTTTTAATAAGGTTTTAGTATCATCCTAACCACTACTCAGCAGAGGGTTCACAACGATGGGTAAGTCACCCCTATTAACCCTGTTAACCCCTAATATTTGTGCATCATTAGTGGCTGTGACACCAACTTTCAGAACTGACTGTCCCACCCATTTCTACCTATGATGTGCTAACATAATGGGAAAAAGTATAATATTGATTTTCATTTTAAAAAAGCAGTTTAACTTTAAATACTAAGCAAAGTGCTTTTATCCCTAAATTATTTGGCTTTTGCAAACATGGCCTCA